AGGCTCAATTAAATCAACTAGTAAATTGGAAGCTTTGGGTCGCACTCTTTTATCCGGAGCAATCGGTTGAATTTTGACAAAATTTGCATATTTCACAAGCGCTAGCATCTCAGGTCCTCGTGTGGCGCCATAAGAAAATTCGTTAAAAAAATTTGCAGAAGCGAATTTCTCCAATCTAGTTTCATATTTGTTATATACTTATTAAAAGAAATCTACAGAAAAATTACTCTTAAAACTTGCAATATATTTACTTGAATTTAATCACGCATTCTCTTGCTGTTTTTCTAGAAACTTATATATATTTCAATGTTATTTCAACCACAGATTTTGATAAGTAAAGCCAAGGACTGATTACCAGCCACTTTTCAGGAATGAATGCATTAGGAATAAAAATAAAAGACAATATGAAAATCAAACAAACCTAACATTCACCCAGTTCCTTCTAAATGTTGACTATATTAACCACAGTACATGATATTGCATTCGCTGTCATGTTCCTGTTTGAGTGTTTTCGTTTTCCCACTGTACCTGATAAAGTATTCCCAGTCTTGTTCCTATAGACCTTTCCCGTATTACACTCCAGTGAGCAAACATAAATAAATGAGGACGAGGCTCGCGCGGGTGGACAATTTCATTCAACCCGAGCCTCGAGTTGGTGCTTTTGTTTACAGGAATGCTGAAAAGGTCTATTTGAGCGTTTTGATTATAATATTTTTGTTTTGTTTTGTTTGTTTGTTTTTTAACACAGTTGATACAAAAAATTGCAACCATTCTTCAAGGACTTTTCAAGGACCACCTACTAAGACTATAATTTCACAGCAGATTCTACAAAAGTGTACCTTCCCAGCCTTTTTGCTTCACCAACTTCTCTACACTTTTCAGTTCACTTGTCTTAAACTGATATTTAATTATTGCACAAAACATAGAGCACTAAAAGTAAATAACCTTTAAATTCTCTGAGCCATGATTTACATTCTATCTTGGACAACCAAAAAGCAAAAAACAATTCTTGCTATTCCACTAAATTCAAAGTTGAAGAAAATTCGAACCCTGTTAAGTAAAGTGGGAACTCCTTTACAGAGGTTATTAATGGGCTTACCCGGTTTTCAAACACTGTCAGCCTATGAGATCATACCTCATGGTTAAAAACTGTGAGAGTGCAGTTTTGTAAGCAGGACTGGGTCCAAAAAATGAGAATATTTTAAGTAATAACTAAAGGCGCTCTGTAATGCCTTTCTGCATGTAAAACTAAGTCCTAGATCAGGGGCACCCAACGTATACTTTCGGAAAATATCTGTTCGGAAAACGATTTGACATCTAGAATTTTCGGAACATTTGTTGTAAAATTTCTTGCCCGCTTGCCTCTCCTAGGATGTTCGAACATCTAAAAAATGGTATGATTGCCCGTTTTTAATGGATTTTTACGCTAAAAAGGTCCCCTAGAATTTTCGGGAGCTTTTTTTCTGGCTGAAATTTTCGAAAAGGTAAGTTTTGATCCCTATAATTTTCGGATCACTAGACTTTCAGCTAGGAAATCCGAACAGATGAAAAAGTTTTAGGGGATAAGAATATGCCTATATCTACCGTTAAAATACTAAAATACGTTTAACAATGCTACGTTCAAGTGGTTTTGAACTATATTCTCGTTGGGTGCCCCTGCTAGATGAAAACATAATTGCTCAACCAATCAGAACGCAGCATTGATGATAGACCACTACAGGCCTGTATTCTACTATACAGGTGTTAGCCTACGTGCAGCCTTAGCTTTACGTAGGTTAATCCGGACTGAATAATTTGTTCAAGAGTTGAATGGTACTGCTTATTTACTAGAAAGATCTTTAACCTTATTTAGTGTTGACACGAACTATTTCCTCATTCTCTTCCTAGATAAAAGCAGGCACCTATAATGCGCACTTCCATCAATCAATTTATACTACCAATGAAATATAAGTCCAGCTCTCAATTAAGGCGAGAACTTGTTGGATTATACCGAAAAACACTATGATATATTTTAGCCTTGGTATAACCTTAAGATAAGAGTGATATTCCTGGTATATGCTAGGGTATCTTACCCACTGTAGGCATCTGTTCAAACCGTGAATAACGCTGTTCGTCGAAAAGACACTTTACAGTGTCGGAGTGGTTGTAGTAGTTTGATTGGAGGGGAAGGTGGGAGGCCTCATCTTACATAGAAAGTTTGTATCTGAGTTCAAGGAGTATCATGGGGAATAAAGAGGTGCATGAGAACCCAAGGAAACTCCTCCCTCCACCTCCTTGATCCGCCCCTTCTGGGGAGACGGGCTGGCAGAAAAATTTTGGAATAACACACTAAGAGTAACGTATCACAGAGCATACATTACTCTTACTGTGTCTGACGCGCTAACAATATAGTTAAACGATAGGAAATGTGACTTGAGCTTAATTTCTAGGTATGGTGCCTCAATTGTTAGTCAGATTTTTATATTTTTACCACTTCTTTGGAGAAGGTATTTACGTAATTCATGGCGTGATGCTAAAAAGTTGTATATTTTAAAGACTGGTTTTGTTTACGTCATTATTGCGTACGAGTCCTTAAACTGGCCCAGAAATTTAAGCTGATGTGTAGAGGTTGTACCATGCGAAATTCAGAACGAAAAGTTTAGTGCATGGTCAGTCGTCCAGGACAGTAGATCGAAGTAGGTTTCTCACCAATCAGAACGCGTAATAAAAAACTAAGAAACTTCTTGCCGTCAATGCTAAAATGTTTTTCAGTCTTTAATTGTGGGGCTTTTCCTTTCTTACATCCAACAATAATACTTGATAATAATAATAGTTTATTAACAGATCCACTAGGTGGCTCTTCCCTTTTAAAGTACATCAATTACAATTAAAAATAAATCAAATTAAGTTATTTACAAATTATGCAATATACAGTTAAAAGTAGAAGCAGGATAAAACAGAATCGAAATTACAGTAAAACTAGCTAATTACTCTGTACTCTGTTACATAAAAATTCCTTGAAAATCTTAAAAAGGTTATGTATTCTTTACAGTTTCTAATAGTTTCTGGCAGATTGTTAAACACCTTCAACGCCTAAGATCTTGGAAAGTGCCGTTCTCGGTCGGGACCACTAATCTAATTGAACCAGTGCCTGAGCGCAGTTCCTTGCCGCATTTACAGTATTATAAGCATTAGTTGCTTGACGTATAATGTATTTATTAAAGCAAAAACATTTTTCTAGAAAGCCACGAAAGATTTGTAAATTACTTACTGGTATAAAGTCATCGTTATGACTCTGATATAAGGTCTTTATTGAAAACTATTTTCATAAATTGTAATCATCATTTATTGTCAAAAATACATTTACAAGACTATGAAAGTTGCATTTAACTTATAAAGCTTCAGGTATTATTTCACAGGATAACGTTCAACATTAATTGAGTATATTATATTACTGCTTTCAAAAAGCTTAGCTTACGCTTATAAATATATTACACAAACCGCTTAGCATACTTTATTTTAAATATATTTTAACCCATTGAGAGGAGTTCTCTTGTCCGAATAAAGGATTTTTGTCATTTGTATTGTTGAGTTTTTGCCTTCCTAATTTGTCCTATAAACACACTACAAACGTATTTTGTCAGAGGTTAAATCGTTTTGGGGCCCGCCAGGCTGTTTTGTACTTTTTCGAAGCACTAGAGGTCAGAAATTAAATAGCCCAGGTCCTTCATCGTCGTTCTTAAAATGAAAACTGGATTTTTTAAGTAACTGGAATCCAAGAAGTCGGCTAGATTGCAATTCTGCAAAGAAAATTCCACTTCCTATAAAATTATGGGTTATCGGATTCCTGTTTAATAGTTTTCTGAATAACTTGAAATAGCCCGGCCTTCCTTAATGCATTTTCTATTCACGTTTATGGACTCAATCCGCCGGTCACTTTATTCTAATGAATAGATAACGTTATAATAGTTTTTCCTAGGGCATTATATGCTTGAATATTTTGTGAGAATTCGAGAGCAGCTACAAGGAATCCAAAAGAAATAAATTTGTCAAGAATTTCTAAAACTGCTAAAAACAAATGAAATGATCAGAATTGACGTAAATGCTAATAAGGTCCTGCTGCTTGCCGAATTTTGGGTACCATGGGTCCCAGCTTTGTTCTTTCTTGGGGTTTCGGTAGTCCTCTCAGTGTTGTTAGAAGGTACCTTTTCATTCTTGCCAAGAGTACTACTTGTGCTGCCAACAAAGTCTAGGTCAATAAAAGAAAGAAATATTTAGTGAATTCAATGAATGTCCATCCAGATGAAATCGATAGAAATGGGGGAATGACTAAAACTATACAAAATGGAAAATACTGGATTTGGGGGTTGTTGAAAATTAAAACAAGAAGAGAATAATTAGTAGACAAATATACCAGATAGTCTACCATCAAAACAGGATGCCTTAATTTAAGCTCATTAGGGGACTAACCGGTTTATTTGTATACCTTTTCTACCCTAATTTCTTTCCTTCTCAAATAAACCCCATTCCCCCCCCTCCCCCCCCAAAAAAACAACAACAACAAGACCTCCCTCTTAAAAGTATTTACTCGCGATCTGTGATGTAAGTTGGACTGACCTTTTGGTAGTACAACACTGATTTTCATCTTGTACACCTGGAATTTGGGAAATGTTTGGCATTGTAATTGCAAACCACGGTCTTCTTCCCTAACTTCCGTCAATTCCAGTGTCGCCCCGTCAATCCTGAGCCTTGATTGACAGGTGCTGTTACACTCGTCGAACACGCACGACTCGGAGTTACAATATGCAATCTTCTGCGTTTTTCCATCGCGTTTGATCCAGTACCACCACATGTCTTGAATGTTACCTATGGAGACCATTTTACCTAGTGCCCCGCTGAGGTTAAAAGCTTGATTTGCAATTAAAGTCAGGCCTGAAAAGATGAAAATAAAGCCTTGATCAATGTACGAAAACGTTCATACATTTTAACAGCCTTTGCTCACTTGGACCACAAGCCCACATGCCCATTTACTAGCAGGGATTCGACACTCGCCTGTGGCTCGTGTCCCATGTTCATACCACATTTTGACGTTATCTGTGATCTATTTTGATCTATTTCTGAACAGTCGAACGGCAACATGAGAGCTTTTTCTCAATTGGATGGTTGAGTCAAATAGGCCACCAAAAGCGCAGAATTTGGCTTGAAATTTACAGCCTACAAACGCAACCTCTTTCAAAATCTCGAGTACAATCTTTTTCCTGTTGTCGATCTTTCGGGAAGAGAAAGTTTCCATCGATGAAAAAAATTTCGAATGCAAAGCTGAAAAGGATTTAATGCGTTTGGAACTATGGTGACTATCAGCCAATCAGAGCAAGATGTCGTTTTTTCTGGCCCAAGGTTTTGTAACTTTCAGTACAGATCGAGAAAAGTAGTATACATCTTCGATTCAAGCAGGACGGCTGTTGATGATCTAAGTGCGTCAACTCATAAATAGGAGCGTCCAAAATTGTGACTTTGAGTCGTCAAAAACATTCCTTTAGCCCTTGTAATACTCATTATAGTCCAAAGCTCACAAATTGCAACCAAACTGAAAGCAAACCTTCAAATCAGTTCGGCCTGTACGTAAACTGTCGCTTATAAGCCCATTCGCTTATATGCCCCCCCGGTTATAGGCCCACCTACATGCAAACAAAAAACTAGATCCGATTATAAGCTCATCCGGATAAAAGCCCCCTCCAGTTTTTGTTTTTGATTTTGTTTTGAAATTTAACTGAATTCGATTTATTGCTGCCTTTTTAAGGCTTCAATTGTAACAGTAATAAATTTAAATCATACGTCGATCAACAGTGTTGTTGCTCATTTCAAAACGTTTTTTTCTCATCCGCTTATAAGCCCATCCGGATATAAGCCCTCCCGTTTATAAGCCCACCCAAAACCCCCTTACGAACTTGTATAAGCCCAGGGCTTACAAGCGGCAGTTTACGGTATATTACTGACAGTGATTTATCCTGCCCCCTAAACCGTTAACCAATCACAGTGCGCGCACTAACTGAGGGATAAAAATAAAAACAAAAAAAACCAAAATACCCATCAAATTCTACTTACAATTCACGGAAGAGGAAACATTTACTCGGTAAACGAGTGGGTGTTTGTTCTGTTTTCTTTGCACAGAGCATGTAAAAGTAAGAATGTCATCCTTGATCCACTGCTCCACGTACAATGTCCCATTTACAGGACCACTTCCGATCGTTATACGTTTCTCAAAGTTTCCCAGGGAATTGTATCTGGTACAGCGGAGTTTTTCATTACAATAACCTATTTCTCGTTCAGATTTGTCACAAGGGTCGGCGACTTTCCAGATGAGTTCTCTGTAATCTCCGCTCCGGATGGCTTGCTCAAGAGGAGGACAATACAATTCGACCATTTCTTTTGGGCAAACATTCTTGTCTACAGCACGAGCACCTAAAGAAAAAAAAGGCAGGGAAACGAAATAATTTGTAAGTAAAAGAAAAGATAATTAGACAGGTGTCAATCTCCAATCTGGTCAAGCAACTAAATCATTAAAGCGGAGAATTAAGGCTTGACCTAGAGCTTTTTTATACTCTTTTCAGCCCAAACCGTTAAGAGTGTCGTTTAACCTTAACTGTGAACGAAGGTCAGTAAGTGAATGAATGGATGAATGAATAAATAAACGAACGAAGGCGTTTAATCTAGTCATTGCGATTTGATGTAGATGTTTTTCATGTTATTGTATTGTTTGTCTTTGTCCATGACGCAGGTTGAGTCGAAATTGTCTGAAAACGTTGATATTGAAAACAACACAAAAAAATAAACGATTTATTGGAACAAAAGAAAGCGTTTGCATGAGAAAAGAGTTGAACTCCCAGAGGATTGGTTTGGGACACCAACATGGTAGACTGTTCACAGTCCCCTATTTTTTCGTGAGATAGTTTAGATATAGCGCGTCTTTCCGTCACGGCTATCTTTTTCAAATGTACCGAGGGGGTGGGCGTCGGGGATTATAGCTCTAGGGGGAGGGGGGGCGAGAAAAATAGAGGGACTGTAATAACATCACGCTTTCTCACAAAACCGCCCCCGCCCCCTAAGTAGTTTTGACACTCATGCAAGATGGCAGCCCGTAACGCAAAGCGCTCGGTCTCGACGATCGTACGGGAAAATAGAGGACTGTGAACAGTCTACCAACATGGCCACCGTTTCATTGTTTTGGGACACCAATATGGCCGCCGTGACGTCATGTGAATCACTCTTTAGAGATACTGATCTACTTACAACACAGGCGGCCCAAACTCATTACTTGAACGCGGACGTGACTCTGGCTTGCGAGCGGTGTTGTGTTACAAACGGATATTTTCAAAGGCTTGTATGGGATCGATCGGTTTTTCTTAAAAGAAGTAAAAAAATGTTATGTTTTTAAATAAAATCGACGTACCTTATTGCCTTGTTGTATTCTTTGTTGTTTGCCCGCGTCTCAGGCTGTTTTGAAGCGTTTTCGGCGAGCTAGCACTATTTTGGTGTTCGACTGCAACTCACTGTGGAACATCAAATTAGCGCTAACTCGCCGAAAACCCTTCAAAACGGCCTGAGACGCGGGCAAACAACAAAGACTACAACAAGGCAATAAGGTACGTCAATTTTACTTAAAAACATAACATTTTTTATCTCTTTTAAGAAAAACTGATCGATCCCAAATAACCGTTTGTAACACAACACGGCTCGCAAGCAAGAGTCACGTCCGCGTTCATGTAATGAGTTTGGGACGCCTGTGCTTACAAGAGGTAATGTATCGGTCAAATCGAAGCTTCAACATGCCCCCCCCCCCGGGCATACCCAGGGCATTTGACACCTTCGCCGTCTCAGAGTCTTCCAGGGGGTGGGGAATTTGATCCCCATGCTTTAGGGGTGGGGAATTTGAACTGCACCCTCGATTTCATGTAAAATTTTTGGCGTGGCGAGCTATCATGGGAGACGCGGTGTTAGAGGATTTTCGTGGAAAAGATTGTGCCTTTGTGGCCAATTGGTTGCGAGGAAAGGGCTTAAACAAGCTTTGTGCCGTACTTGAAGTATTTAAATTTTAAAATTTTTAATATTGGATTCAGGCTTTGAATGTATGAATGTATTTTATTGTTGTGTTTACAATGAAATACAATACCTATATCGGCAATTCAATCAGCAACAACATAAATAAAATAAGATAAAAAGGTCAGGTCATCTACTTTGACCTACTGCAAGTATGTTAATTAATAAGGTGAACGATGATGCATGTCAGTGAAATGGTCATGATGTAGTAATCTCAATAGGTGGGATCTTTTTTATAGAACGCTTTGTATGTTGCATGACGAAGAAAAGCTGAGCATTCAGTGACCTTGTAGCAGCGATTTCCGCCGTTTTGCACGAGACTTTTGTTCGTAGTAAATACGCTAACAGTGTTTCTCAGT